CATGTTTTGTAAAATATTTGTTTATTTACAATTATAAAAATAGATGAAAATATCATGGATAAAAAYTAGACGCTATAACAAATAATTTTTAAACAAAAAATAATGTCAAACTTTAATTAAAATGAATGCACATTTTTGTTATGAAACTACAATTAAATCTTCATAAGATGTTTCTGTACAGTTACCACTGTCAGTGTGTGGGAGTTAGAAAGCATCTTCGAGTCGGCCCTGCCTTTAATGTTATCAACAGGAAGCATCAAAGAGCCAACACAGAAACGCACTACGCTTAAATTTACAAAAYGCCTGAAACAGAATAAGTAATGAAACCGGGCTTACAGTGCCACACTATTTAAAAAATAAATAAAACATTTCCATTTGAATCACTTTTTTCAACCTTTACTTGAGTCCAACTAGAAATGTATTGTTTTCGTTTGAAATGTAGATATCCTGTGCTAGGAAARCATTATCAAGAGATTTATACGTATTTGGTGCTTTTATGATTGTGCACATTTTTATTTATTTATTTTTTTGCTGTTTAACTATTATATGTTAAGAACACAGACACACATTACACAGATTTGCTAAAAGCAAGTAGCTCCACCACACTAACAAGACATAATAAAGCAAACACCGACAGATTAATGTTAGCATACTTTATCAAGATTGCACACTTGCAGGCTAACTCCGAAACGAGGAGAAAATGCAATGGACAGAAAATTACCTCATGCAAGCCGGATCGGATCTGCTCTTTGTCAGCCCTGTTACATGAATTTAGCTCTTTGTTTAGGTGACTGAAAAGTTAATTTGCTATGTGGTTATTTTGAATAGGTGTCCACTCTGACATTAGGGTTATTTCTGCACGGTTTAACTCAGTTTGTTTGCCTTTTTATTAAACTCTCCTTGCCCTGTTTCTTCACCTTTCGGCTATCTAATGAAGCTTCTGATTCACTTTGGTTCAGGTTCAGGCGGCTCATTATTGGTGTTATCATTATTGTCATGTGGGSTATTGATGCTGAAAGGCAGCTACTGCCTTTCTTTCTTTTTTCTTTTTTTGTTTTTGTTTCTCAAACCTCACAGTTGCATTCAGTTCTGCTGCTTTCATTGGAGTAAATCATTTCCAAAGTAGCCATGCTATTCACTTGGTGGTAGAGTTTATTAAAAATAAAAAAAGCTTTAAAAAAACTAAAAAAAATGTGTTATTTCAGGCAGATAGGCAAATTGAAATAGTTGGCAGTAAGCCAGAACTCAAAAATCATTACTGTGCCCTTTCAGGTTCTTTCTAAACGTACTGAAACAGATGCTTCAGTTTRGAACGACTGCTCTGACGCTGCACAGACATGACTGGGCTTTTACCTTTGTGACATGATCTTGTAGGCATCTGGAAGATAGCAGTTGATGTTCTCCATCTGGAAGGGGTCAGCATCGCAAATCTTGTCGTCTGTTCGGCCGTAGTTGGCACTTTCTATCATTATGACATCACTTCCTGGACACCGAAGATCAATGGGGTAGCCTTCACAAGACAGCTCTCTCCGCACTAAGCCAAATGGCAGGGCAGCCCGGCTAAACCCTGAGGGAGAGGAGAGAAAGAACAAGCTCTATCAGTGCAAATTGAAAGGAGATGTGGAGCGAGATGTGATGAAAAGGCGGACAGCACAAGGCAGCAGAGCTGGATGCACATAGTGTACATGCACTTCCTTTTTTTTAGTCAAACAAAGCATTCATCAATATAAAACATGGATTTATATAAATAGTAAAGCTGTCAATGAATGCTGGTTCAACATATTTCAGTGTACTGAGTGAACATTTCAGATTTCATCCTCAGCAGAGAACAAATAGTGTTACTATGTCATCCTCGGGCACTAACTGGCTCTGAAAAAAAAATCAATATTTGTCATTAAAGTCTAGTTTGTCGGGCTAAATGTCTAGCGCTTTGTACCACCTTGTGACCATCAATATAAGTACAATGACACTGCTGACAGGAAACAAAGAGAAACCTAAACAAAGGCAAAATTATCAGCTGACATAAAGGTTACAAAAATACATTTTTGTGACTTTGAGAGTCTCGTGGTTTTAATAATTCGCTTTATTTCAATATGAAAACTACTCTATTAATATGTGTCTATCAGTTTTCTTGCAATGCTCTTTTTTCACAAATGAAAAAAAAAAACAAACATGAAAACAAAAGTCTACTTTAGCCCATTTTGCAGAACTGACAACTGAAGGGCAGACTATTGGGATGCAGGGAAAAAAGAAAGATTTTGAGTATTCATGTGTTTCTGTAAGGGACGATGAAGTGAAGACAGAGGCAATATTAAAACAGTAATCRATATTGTAGCTTTGCAAATACGAGAAATGCCAGAAGTCATTTTTTTAAAGTAAAAGTGAACTATGCAGATAAACTTTAAAAGATGTGGGTGTTTTACAATAAGAGCATATTTCAGCAGTGACGTGAAACATTAAAGCTGAGGGGCAGAGAGCTTATTAAGACTGCCAGCTGCTCCCGCATTGACTTCTTTGACTAATAGGTACAGTTTCACAGCATCCAGTACTGACTTTGTCACCTCTTTGAGGCCTTAAATAACAGCGTGCCTTCTTACAACTGGGTTGACGGTCGTGTTTTTCTTTTTTTTTTCCAAAGGCTCTGTCTCCCTAATGAGGCTCAGTTCACAGTCACAGAGGAAAATAAAGAACACCCTTACTACTTCTCACGCACTAATTTGTTTGGCTTCAAGACAAGTTAGAGTGATCCACGTGTGCAGTTTGTGATCGCAGCAAACTTTGTTTCTTTTCATGGATCTGTGGCAGCAGTTTACTTTTAGCCACTTACTAAATCGGTCAAGGAGGGGTGAATTCATCTTAGCCCCTATTGAATGGCTCATCAATTAACCACCAATACCATTATCTTTGTCTGATTAAATGCTAAGCAACTGTGGCAGGGGATTAGCAGGCGGTATTGTACTTCTTGCCAGTGAATGCTGTTGTGTTAGTTTAAAAAAGAAGATAAATGTCAGTTTGTATTGCCTGGTGCTCTGTTTGTACTCCAATCAAGAGAAAATCCAACTTCTAGGGTGTCCAGTTAAGATCCCAGAATGAAAAAAAATGTATATATATATATATATATATATGGCCTCAGGTCCATCTGTTGTCTGAAAGAATGCATTTGTCATTTTCCTTCTATCTTCTTTTTATCTTCTTTTTTTGGCAGCTTGTTTTTACCAACAGACAAGAAAAAAATAAAGGCTTTCACATACGATATATTTAATCTGCATTTTACTTTTTCTGCATCGTTTTTCTCCCAGGATTCAAAAAGAAATGCTTAAGGTGATAAACAATTTATCAGAAATTCTGGCTTGGGGGATGAAAAAAAAAAAGAAAATAAACAATAAAACAATGAAAAGAGTGCATGCTGGGAACAGAACTTGACAGTCAATCGTAAGCTCATGTCAGTGCACTCTACCATTACTCTAAAGACAGTAAAAGCACTTGAAGTAAATATAAACCTATGCTAAAGATCATTCAATGTCATACATTTTTATACCTAAACCATAAGTTGGAAGTGGTGATGTGTGACAAATGCTGTCTCACTCTCAATACTTGTTTTATCAATCCAACTAGGTAACAAAAAACACTGTGCTACAACATAGGGATTAGAACATTTTTATATTATTACCTATAAAATATGTAATGCATGTTAACATTTGCTTGCTTTTTATTTAGTACATAAGATTAAAAACTAAATAAACCTCTGYCTAATTAGGAGAACAGACTTAGAGCCAGTTTGTGTTGCTAAAAAGGTCATAAAGATTTCAAATAGATCAACTGGGTAGCAATTAAATATTGCTGGGTGGGATAGATTAACTAGTGCAGGCCTACTTTGTGGCTGGATGGGATCTGTTTTTTTGGCTGTGTGTAAGACCTCTGAGTTTGATCTGCAAAGCTGCAGCCAAACCAACTGTTGTCTCGTGTCCATGGAAGTCTGGTAAAACACTTAAATCTCTCAGCAGAGCCTTCACCAGCTCTTGCTTTTGGTTTTGTGATTTACAGCTAATGCCATCTCCCCTCTTAAAGAGGAAAGCAGAAATGAGAAGATAAATGCATGCTGAAGAAACACTRCATGACTCCTGCTGAAATCCACCGACCACGTTTCAACCACGATGATGACACGCTCTCYGTAAGTAAAACAACTTAAACTTCTGTATCGCGCACAAAACAGACGTCCTCTGAGCACTTTATTAGCCGTCTTGATTCATGCAACATGGACCAAAAGCATAGCTGTAAACAACCTGTGAAAGCCCCTCTCCATTGATTAGACCCCAGGCTGAACTACTTTTTTTTTACCCCGTACCAGACATTATTTTTAGTTCATGTGGAGCAATTGACACAGACACATCAATACACAAACACCCAATAGTCTGTGAAAATAAATGTAATTGAAACAACTACTTCAAACTACTTTGACTCAAAATATTCAAATGATTATCTGGTACCGTATACTATCAAATGAAAAAGAAAAAAAAAATCAGCACAAAAAGTAMGGAACTTTGTGTTTGGTAGATTGTTTCTTTGTTGTAACAATGCTTCTTGAAAATAATTCTTACACGATTGGAAAGCCTGTTAACTTCCCTTTTTAAATGGTGCCACATTTGTAAGGAGCATGGATTTGTGGGATGAGCATTAGAGCTGAGTGTGTGGGTTGTGCACATGAAAAACTTGCCAATCTTCTCTGCCAAATAGCTCATTTTTCAGTTGCTACTGACACTTGTTTTGTGCTTCTGAWACCTCCAGGCGCTGCCAATCAGGTGCCTGATTGGCAATCTCAGTGCAGAGAGATAAATACTATACCAGTGGAAATTCTATGTATCCACAATCTGGGACCAAACTCTATCCTCCAAGATGACAATGCTCGTCCCCACAGAGCATCGTCTATCAGAGACTACCTTTAGAAGTTTGCAGTGGAGAGGATGGAATGACCTACCAGCAGTCGTGACCTAAACCTCCATTGAACTCTTGTGGAATCATCTTGGGCATGCTGTTCATGCCAGAGTGACCAAAACAGCTTTGTTGACTTGTGACAAATGCTGGTTGACGAATGGGGTGCCATRCTACAGCAGTGTGACCAGGCGGTTTTGGCTGGATATTGTTCTTCCAAATGCTACTGAGGCTCCAGTTTGGTAAATGAATAAATCATTAAACTCCAAATATGCCTTGTTCTTGGCAAAATAAGCTGTTCGGCAACGGCAGAGATGATTTGACAAGTTTTTCATGTGCGCATCCCACATACTCAGCTCTGCTGCTCATCCCACAAATGCATGCTCCTTACAAATGTGGCACCATTTAAAGGGGAATTTGACAGACTTTCCAACAGTATAAGATTTATTGCCAAGAAGCATTGTTACAAGAAAKAAATAATATACCAAAACACACAAATTTCCTTCTTGTGCTAAATTTAGATATCACTCTGCTTAATTAAATCTGATCTTCTTACCTCGTTATGATTTTTTGTTTATTTTGCAATTTAAACAACTTATGTGAAAATTTTAAATAAATCTTTGTCTGTTTTCATACAGATAATTTGAGGACACCAAAACACCATCTATCATGCATTGCAGCTGCAACACACTAATATGATCACACTTATTCGAACATAAACAAATCCAATGCTTACTGTCGCACTTAACTGAATAATTTCATTATTCAAATGAGCCAGAAAAGCAATCATTATTTTGCTCATGGGGTCATTAGCATAATTATTCAGCAAATCCTTGATATGAAAATTATTTACTTTCCATATGGTAGCAGTRAACCATGTCAGGAATGTGAATGTTGAAATGCTGACTGTTTGTGGTTCTGCTTGTCTTTTGCAACGTTCTGGAGAAAGCTCAACAGTTGATTGCARCAGCTGAGAAAACCTGTTGCTGTAAACTTGCTCGAAGCAGCATGATATCATGGTAGCTGTCATGATCCCTGTGTTTTGATTACCGGTATTGTTTTATGGTTCTTAGTATTATTGTTTGGTTTCCTTTTTTCGTTTCTTGTGTTTCTGTATCGTGGGATTCTTGGTTTGTGTTAGTTCAATTTAGATCCTCTCAGTCTGTTTTTTACTGTTTGCTATTCTTGTGTTTTATTTTCTTATTTCCTCTTAAGCTTCTGTGTTCCTTGTGACATTTCTCATTTCACCCTCAGCCAGCTTCTCTGTGTTTTTCCAGTCGGTCTGCCACTCACACCTGTTGCCAGTCTCCAATCAGCTCAGCTGTCTCCAATACCTCATCAACCTCTGCTCTATTTAGTCAGTCTCCTTCCTTTCCACCTCAGCAGTTCATTGTCTTGTACGTTCCTTGTACTTCTCCAGTGTTTCGTAGAGTTTGCGGCTCTGTCAGCCTTTTTGTTTTATAATTGGAGTATTTTTAGATAATCCTTCTTAGTCCTCATGAGTCCGCACTCTGGGTCCTATTCAACCCAAAGGCTGATAGTAGCACACATAAACAGGTAATCACTGTGTGATGATTTTTTTTTTCTTTTTTTAATGCAATTTATAATTTAGTTATTTCACAGTATTAAATAAGTTAA